AAACTGTGTGGGCTAAGCCTGGAAACAGGTTCAGTAAATACTGAGACATTTTATGAAATGTGTGTAATATGGTTTTTGCTGTAGTGTGTGGGGAGAAAGAAGGAGGACAAAACTATGGGCAAGGAGACCATCTGTTATACTTTTGCAAGCCCAAGTAAGAGTTTAAGTTTTTATATGGATCTGACACACAGACTTCAAATAAATACTGAGACCAGGAACATATTCTTCTTTTCCTTTAAATATTTTCAAACTATTAYGCTCAATAATTATGTCTGATTTCTGTATTTCAAGAACAAAATAAAAATCTGTCACAAGTAGTACAGTTCTTGAAGGATAATTAGCTGGAACTTCTAATATCTCCCTGCATTTATTAGGCTCCCAATTTTAATTGGAAATATTCTTATGATTGTGGAAAAATAATTGTATGGTTGTAGTCACTCTTCTAGTACTTAATTTTAGAATCATCTTAAGAATGTAAGATTATATTTACTGAGACATTTCAGCTAAAACTGGGAAAGGAGTCATGTATGTAGTAAAATGAACATAGATTTGGGAAGAGAGGTATGAATTCTGGTAATAGACCAATATTAATTGGCTCTGTGGCAGTAGTTAAGGCTTTCAGTAGTCCTCTCTAGGACTACTAGTATTCTATTTCCTCTATTCTCTCTATATTGCACAAATTCAATTATTTTTTTCTACCCCTCATATAGATTTTTTTGGTCTTTAAATGCAACCATGTTTTGCAATGCTACGTTTAATTTCTGAGACCAAAAAAATAAAAATATGTAAACACAGAATATAGTGTTCCAGAGCAGAATCTTCCCTTGATTTTTTATCTTCATAAATCTTAACATTCAGAGAATATCTTCTCCTTATTTCTATCTTAGAGGAAATTTCTCCAAAGCTACACCTGTTTTCAGTAATCTTTCCTTTCTCTTTTCCTCTGAATTTATAATCTGGGCACAGTGGTGCACACCTGTAATCCCAGAAATCTGGGAGGCTAAGGTAGGAGGGTCATTCGATCAAGGCCAACCTGAGCAGTATAGCAAGACCCTGTCTTAAAAGAAAGAAATTTGCAATCAGTTATTTATTTTTGTGTTGTATCATTGTATCAAGCAAGAGAGACTAAGTGATAATGCAATAACAAACTATTCCAAATCATCATTGGTTTAGGAAAAATACATTTCTCTGCACAGTCTGTGCCCATTTCAGATCTGCTGGAGTTACTAATGAAGCTTTCAGTGCTTACTCAAAATAACYAACAAGGTAGTTCTGAAACCACAAGTCATGAAAGAACGTGTACACCCAAAGCAAGTCCTGAGGCCACAACTAAACTTACAGGGGGTCAAATGCCCAGAAAGCTGAGAATTGGAGTATTTGGAAACAAGCTAATGACAATTGTTATCTTCATTCCACTATATACAAATATTTCCAATTTTCTCTTATGTTCAAGTAAGCACAATCATAAAACAATCTGCTGTAATTTTCCTTTTTGAGACTTGCTACCTCTAGTTTCTCATCCTCTTTGAATGCTCATCACTCTCCAAATCTATATCTCCAAGTCTATGACTCTACTTCAAATGTTTTAATTATTTTATTAGTCATCTAGGGCTGTCATACTAAAATTCTAGAGGCTGAGTAGTTTAAATACCAAAACACATTGTCTCACAGTTGTGGAGGGTGAAGTTCAAGGTTAAGGTGTCAACTGGTTTGTTTTTTCCCCTGAGGTTTCTTTTTTTGGCTTGAGATGGACACCTTCTCCCTTTGTTTTCATAGGGCCTTTTCTTTGTTCACGTATATCCTCATATTTCTTTCTCTTCTTACAAGGATGTGTAATGTGTAATGTCCTTATTCTGTGGATCATGCACGGTCACAAATGCATTCCATGTTAAGTTCCAAGGCCTCATCTTTGACAGCAAACCTCCACAACACCCGTGTCTCTTGTACCAGTAGCTGCAGCTTCATCTGTGCTTTTTTGAAATGGAGTATTTTGATCCCTACCATAGAACTATTAAATCTCAATGAGCCTATTGGCAAGATTCCCAGATCATGTTTACACATAGAAAATTTAAAAAGTAAGGTTCACTTGATTTTTTTTTAACCTGAGTCTTCCAAAGAAATCTCAAACGAAACACATTGAGATTGGAAGGATTAATTCCATGATTTTTACTCACTGATTAATTTGATAACTATTAATTGGACTTACTGTATGTCATCTTCACTGCTCTAGAATCTATAACTGTGAACAAACAAATACCCTTACATTGTTCTGTGATGATGTCACTTTCTTCCTGAAAATCATTTATGAGTCTAACTTCCTTCTGAATRAGACTAAAATACCTTATGATGATCAATAAGGCTGATTAAATTAGTCTCTTCCTATTTTTTTTCCATAATTTCTTTCCATAAGCACACACCCCCAAAATATTAGCATATTCTCTTCTAATCTTTGCCCATCCTGATTTTTTGGTTTTTGTTTTGTTTGTTTTGCATGGAAAACTAAAGTGTTACCTTGTTTGTAAATATTTCCTGATTCTTCTCCTGCCTAAACCTTGGTACTAACGACATTATTCTTGTGGATTTTCATCAAAGTGTATATTCTTAGAAAGCAGGGACTGTCTTGTTTACTAGTGAATTCCTAGTGCCAACACTTGGGATTGTATCACACACCAAGTACCTAGAGCTGGTWACCCAATCCTGCTTAGTATTTTGTGACAAAAACAGGATAGCTGATTATTCATAGAATGAGTAGAAATATTCTGAGTTACCATTCAGAGCAAGCATGTGCAAAGGTATGAAGATRTTTGGGGGGAACATCAGATACCTTTCCTTTTTTATGGGACCTACAGTATGGCTTTAGTTACTGCCGAAATTGAGATGAGAAAGTATCTTAATATGCCTTTCTAAGAAGTTTGGATTTCATGCCTTAGAGAATGGCCATTGATTGGCKTTAAACAAGTGAGTGACAGGCTCAATGGCATATTACCTTTGAATTTTAAAAGGAGATTCTCATTGAGAATGGGAGGTGTTTATTAAGGGAAGAGGTTGGGGTTGGAGATATGGAGTCTCTGTGCAATAAGTACAGAGAAGATAATAAGGGCTTGGACTAAAGCTATGACAGCATAGCACTGGGAAAAGGGGACAGGAAAAGAAAAATGTAGGCTTCTCTACTGGTGTCTGCTGGTTTTGAAGGGAGAAATGAATCTAGATACTATCRCTAAGATTAGAGTAGGTGGGTTGGGGTCCATTAAAAATATGTATTCAGCTTTATACTATCATTTTTGAGTTCTCAACAATCTGTGCCAGGCCTCTTCATTTCTAGAAAMAAATTTTGATGCAAAACAAATGATCATTTATAGTAAATAAAATTTAGGGCAGAAGTCACAAATCCTTCCATTCAAAAAGTAATTGTTACTTTCTCAAAAAAATAATTATGTTGTCATGGGTGAAAGAATTGATAATTTTTTATGCATTTAAGTTAAGGATATATCTGTCAGAGAGGGACTTATTTTCTAGTACAGGAAGCTGACTTAAAGTAATATATTAAATATAACTGCTGTGAAATCAAGAAAATAAAAATTTTTTATCAATCATAAGTTAGAGTTGAATGAGATTTATGCCTTTTATAGTCATTTTGTGGTTACTAATCTGGTAAAGTTTTGTTAAAAATGAATTCTTGCTATGATAACTTCTAATCATGTGAAAATATGTTTTCTCATGCTACATTTTTAAAAATCATGTTTATTCTTCCTACATATCAACTCCAACAATTTTGATAGTTATTTAAAAACTAAAAAGAAAGAGAATTGTAAAATTAATGCAGTTAATCAACAGTGCTGTCAAAATCAGATTTGATTTTTTCAAAATTGGTTATTCCAGCTATAACTTAGCATCACTCCATTTTGATCTCATTTTCAAAGAAACTGTGTATTTTATATTTCAAAGGGGATGTGATTCCATAATTGCTACATTTCAACTGCTCATCCCAWGAATGAGCAGTTGAAATGTAGTTTGCTTTCCTCTCAATGTTTCCTTCTCCTGCTCCTCTCTTCTAGTGCARAGAATATCTCCTCTGTAACAGGATAGATATTGTCATTTCTTTTTCTAGAATATTTGTTTATGTCAAAAATATGGAGCTAATCTCTTTAGRTCTTGATATTTTGAAATGCTAAGACTCAAAGTTTTTTATACTTCAAAGTCTTGGTTTTACAACTCAGAAGTCTTGACCTTCTAAATTAAAAATACCCGTACCTGGATTTTTWTTCTGTTTTTTTTTCTCCCATAATTTTTAGGGGGACAGGAAGTAATGTGGGAGGACAAAAACTTCATTTAACATATTAAATATTAAACTMTCCAATTACTTTATCACTTTTGTTTTCATGCTTCTGAAAATCTTATATAGCTGGGGTTTTGGGTCATAGTTAGTAAAGACTTACTAGTTTATATTCTTAGATACCAAAGAGAAGATCCAGATAGGAAAATAACCCAAGTCTAATAAACTTTTAATCAGTAGGCAATTAATTAGCATGTTGTAAGCATCTGACATTTTGTTCATGGAAAAAGAAAATAATTAGTATCACTGAGTTTTGATGCCAGCAGCTAGTGAGGACTTTAGGGAGGTTAATGAAGGGTACATGAGTGTGTGTGTGTGTGTGTGTGTGTGAGAGAGAGAGAGAGAGAGAGAGAGAGAGAGAGAGAGAGAGAGAGAAGGACGGACAGATAACAAACACTGGTATGGAGTATTCACAATGTCTTGCACCTGGAATTATATAATATTCATACCAAGTGAAAAATTTTATTCAAAGAATAAATTTGAATGTTAGTATTCTTTTTTCAGGATAATATATTGTTCCTGATTATTTGAAAAGTATCTGAAATATGTGAAAATGAGTGAGAAAACAAAAATGTTGCATTCTAAACATTATATACAACAATATATGTCATTTGTGTTAACAGTCATTATGGATTTGGAGGATTAATTGTCTTCTTTGTTCTTTCAGAGAATTTATCAACAGTCTTCGACTGTACAGGTCATTCTATGGCAGCCTGGCTGATCAGCTTTGTGTTAATGAATTAGCTGCTGTGGATGGGCTGCCCTGCTGGAATGGAGAAGATCTAGTAAAAAGGTATTTTATGTTTCATGGTCTGTGAAAACATAACTGCTTGTCATCCTCCCTTTCTTTTCCTGAATCTTGAATGAATTACTTCAGTTTTAACTTTGCCACACAAGTTAGAGAGTAATTCTTTCTCTTTAGTTTGTTCAAAGAAAATCTGATTCTTTTTGAAATTTTAAAAACATAATATTATGTAGTTTTTTTAAAAGGTTCTCTTTTCATTTCCACCTACTTGTAAATTATACAACAATCCTACTTTTATTTTAAGTATGACTTATCCTCCAGTCATTTTATCACTTTTTTTTAGTTTAATTTCATGACAATTAGAAATAAGGGAATTCAGTAGAATGAAAATACCTTGCAAGAATTCATTGATATATGAAAATGTGCCTCAGTAGTTTTAATGGTTTCTTCTTACAGTGGTCTGTTTATTATTGGGGGCACTTTTATGTATGTCTGTTTGAAGCATTGTTTTTTTGTATCTCTCAGTTGTTTTCAAATTTAGGAGTAAAATTTCACTTTTACCCTTTTCCCTCCCTATGTGGAATATCTTTGACAGCTTCTTCTCCTTGGCTTCTTATCACTGATTATACTCTCAAATAATCTCCTAAAGATGAGAAAGTCTTAAATTTTCCCTCTATGTTTAATAAAACTAGTTGGAAATTAGTCCCTTGATTTGCCAATGCTGGTGACTTTAATAGAATGTGGGATGATGAGACTTTGAGTATATATTTGAATTTTAAAACCTAAAATAAAATAGACTTTTTATTTATGTACTTTATTCATTAAAATRTGTACTTTGGATTTGTATCTGTTAAAATGTGCTTATTTTGAACAGTCTACAAAAAAGAATATAGGATTAGGTATGCTTTCTTACTTAAAAAACACATATTCCTTATGAAGACAGGTGATTCAGCTATCAGAAAAGCAATGAGTTCATTTAAAATGTTATTTAYCAAATTAAATTTAGTATGTGTGTTAGTCAGTTTTTTGTTGCTGTGACCAAAATATCTGACCAGAACAATTTAAAGGAGAAAAAGTTAAYTTTGGCTCATGGTTTGATCCATGATCAGCCAACTCTATTGCTATAGGTCAGAGTGAGGTAGGACTTCAGGGTGGAAGGGCTTGGTGGAGGAGATCTGCTCACCTCATAGCCTCTGGGAAGCAAAGAGAGTGTAGGAGGATTGAGGGACAAGATATATAATCCCAAGGCTACCACTCCAGTGAGCTATTTCTAACCATGACTACTGTTACATAAGGCCTAATAATCTACTCATATTAATAAGTGATCAAGTAGCTTAATTCATTGATTAAGTTACAGCTTTCATAATCTAATCATCATTTCACCTCTTGACATTCCTGCATTGTCTATCATTTGAGCTTATTTGGGTATACCTCAAAAAATTCATTACACTATGATAAATATATACTAAGATCAAGTTTAGTGTCAGTTTATATAATAGAATCTATTTACATATTTCTGGATGATAATGTTCATTATTGTTAAAAGTTATATTCCTGAAATATCAAATAATTAATTTACAGTATRTATATGAATAGCTCWTAGAGACTATTAAAGTTCTCAGAAAAAGGTCCTTGAAGRCAAGAGCTATAATTTTAAGTTTAAATGAAATATGTGGCCAATATGGCTAGTGCTATGTTTTCATTATGTTTCTTAGACATTAGAATGTAAGAATTTCCTAAATATTTCTTTGGCTTTTACTGAGAGCAGTCATAGCATGTGTGGAACTTTTACTTATAAATGTAGTTATGCCAATATTGTTTCTATTTCTAGTTTAGGGTAATTCATTTCTATAATATTTTATGCTTTCTCTTTGCATACTATTCAAACTTCAGATAAACATTTTATGTGTGTTAATAATTTTTTTCTACAAGGACTAATGAGACTCCCACAGTGATTAATGAAAAAATAAGCATATAATGTAAATATATTAAATACATTACATCATCCAAATCTATAGCTGTAAGAATTTTAGTTTCCATTTTCCCCATACTTTTCTTGCTAGTTGGTCTGAGATTTATGTGACAGGAAATACTACTGGAGAAATCCATGATTTTACTAAAATTTTTGGAGAGATAGTATTTCCAACTTAGAGACCAACTAGTTGTCCTGATGGAAGCTCATGCCTTTCCTTTCCTGTATACCTGGGCCTCCTGTCTATTAGCCCCTTCCAAGTGCACAGAGATTCCAGGTTCCTGTGAACAAGCTTCACTTGGAGTCCATCTATTTTTCAAATAAAATCTTCTAATTTCATTGCCTTGGTGGGCAGTTTTCCTTCCTTCCTTCCTTCCTTCCTTCCTTCCTTCCTTCCTTCCTTCCTTTCCTCCTCCTCCTCCTCCTCTTCCTCCTCCTCCTCCTCCTCCTCTTCCTCCTCCTCCTCCTCCTCCTCTTCCTCCTCCTCCT